GGGGAATCAAGAATTAAATAAATTCAACGATTAAAATAAATATAAGAAATGTGATGTGCGAGATTTGAATTTTTTGGGAAATTAAAATGCAAACAAAACGATTAAAATAAAGGGTTCTTTCTAATTAATGACGGAAGGGAACATGGACCGATTCCGGGGTAATCAGATTTTTGGCTAATCATGCTTAATCACATGAAAATTAATTAATTGAGCAACACTAATAAATACTAATGTTGGGATATTGGGCCGAAGGCCCAACACCCGGCCCAGAAGCCACTAAGGATACCAAAACGAGGACGGGCCCAGGAAGAACTTTACCCTGAACGGGGACCGGGGTTTCAGTGGGAATTCACCCCAATACCCCGAACGGGAAACATGTCAAATAGTGTACTTGGAGCAGCTTAACAACGCCAACCAGGACCATCAGTCTGCTGCCTGAACGGACAATTTGCAAGTGGCAAGGTGCATTAAATGCTAGAGTATGGCGTCAACAAGTGGGAGCATGAGAGTCCAAGTGGCTTGAAAAGCAACCAATCAGCTTGGAACACCCCATACCCCACCTACCCCCTTATAGTATAAATAGGGACATTAATTACATTGTAATGGGTTAGCATTTTGATACTCAAGATCTAGAATAGCTTTCTCACTCTTGTTCTTGTATTAATCACTATTCCGATGTGTCGTTCGGGTAGTTTTCTGTGTAATCACCGAATTACTTAATGCAAGTGGGCTTTTGAGTACAACATCTTCCAATTTTTATATTTTCTTTTACCCTCGACCTATTTTCCACGTCCTTATTATCAAAAGCGTGTGTTGGGCTTTCGGATCTATGAGAATTCACCCCAATACCCCCCGACCATGAAACAGGTCAAATAGTGTACTTGGAGCAGCTTAACAACGTCAACCAGTACCATCAATCTGCTGCCCGAACGGGCAGTCTGTAAGTGGAAAGGTGCATTAAATGCTAGAGTATGGCGTCAGTAAGTGGGAGCATGAGAGTCCAAGTGGCTTGAAAAGCAACCAATCAGTTTGGAACACCCCATACCCCCACCTACCCCCTTTTAGTATAAATAGGGACATTAATTACATTGTAACGGGTTAACATTTTGATACTCAAGGCCTAGAATAGCTTTGTCACTCTTGTTTGTGTATTAATCACTATTCCAACGTGCCTTCGGGTAGTTTTCAGTGTAATCAGCGAATTACTTAATGCAAGTGGGCTTTTGAGTACGACATCTTCCAGTTTTTATATTTTCTTTTACCCTCGACCTAATTTCCACGTCCTTAATATCCAAAGCGTGTGTTGGGTTTTCGGATCTGCGAGATTTAACCTCAACAACTAAGTTCTTACCACTCTCGCGGCGTAAAGTTTGGGGTATTTAAATTACATATGCAAGTTTGGGGTATTCATCTCACATCCCTTCAAAGTTTGGGGTATTTTATTTATTTTTCCCTTAAGTCTCACATCTCATCCCCTCCACACCTATAAATAAGGGTCTCAGTTGAGAGGAAGGAAGAGAGAACTTCCAGTCGAAGAAACGCTGTAGAAAAGCTCTCAAGAACTCCCGCGGGCTCTGAACGATTCCGAAGAAGAGGAAGAGATCAAGCCACAAATTTTATTAAGAATATATGAATAATCATTCGTGATTTGACTGATTTTGTCGATTCTTAATAAAATAATTCCAAAAGTTGAAGAACGTTTGAAGATTTGAAGAACAAAGCTCGAAGATTCGAAGATCTGAAAATGATGCTTTGAGGATTCGAGGATATGAAGAACGAATCTTTAAAGATTTGAAGATATTCATAAAAAGTTTGAATCAAGATTTAACTGAAGATCAAGCCATACATCGCGGGAGGCCCTTAAATAGGAGGACCAATCCATAAAACGGCCCTTTTGTTGAAGATCAAGCCACTTGAAACCGGAGGCCCTCCAAGTTGAATTCTTAATTCAAGAATATTTGAAGATTTAAAGAACGAAGATTTGAAGATTCAAAGAACAAAACTTTGAAGATTTGAAGATCCGAAGAACGAAGGTTCGAAGATTTGAATATTTGAAGAACGTTCAAATATTTGAAGAATTAAAGATTTAATTTTGAGTTAAATTCTTTAATTATATTCATGTCAAATTGCAAGTGAAAAATTAGAGGATTCATATTTAGAGATTGTACCCAATATTCTAACATATTATTATTTGCGATCAATTTTAAGTAAAAACTTAAAATTTGTTTCACAAATTTTTGGCACGCCCGGTGGGACAACTCTATCTCTCATCTCTTCACTTTTGATCAAGCAAAACGAACCCATGGCCTCAAGCAAGCCCGTGTTCTCTTTGAATTCTAGAGCGTCATCAAGATCAAATCAAAACATGCAAGGTCCTATCACTAGGAGCCTATCAAGAATCATGGTTGCGCAGTCATCTTCGGGAACTACTCCCGGTGCGATGGATGGATTTCGAATTGCGCAACAGATGGCCCAGAAGCTTTCTTCATCCATACGTGAATTTACTTCCTCGAAGTGGACAAGCGGTTGTGAAAGCTCATCATCTGGCTCAGACTCCACGTCCCCATCATGTCCTCCACGAAGAACTACTCCACAGTGGTCAAATGTCTACACTGTGATGCCCACTATGACGACAAACACCACATCTATGGAAGAACAAATTGCCCTTCTAACTAGGTGATCGAGGGGATGAGCATGTTCATGTAAGCTCAAAATCAGAAGCTGAATGATGTGAACATCAAAGTAGAAAGCTTGAAAGGCGAGTCAAGTCATGCCCATGAGAAGGATCCTGAAGTGCATGAAGATAATGATTCTCACCAAGAGGATTTGAGAAAGAACATCTCAACCTCTGGGGGCATGATCCCGGATGATCAACTCAAAGACTTCATCATGAGAACCATAAAAGGGGAAGATAGAACGAAGTCAATCTACGTACTCTTATGTTAAGTCATACACTCAAGGAATTGAAGACCTAAATATGCCCAATGGTTATCAACCGCCAAAGTTCATCCAATTTGACGGAAAGGGAATCCCGCGACAACATGTTGCACATTTCGTAGAGACTTGCAATAATGCGGGAACAAACGGAGATCACATTGTCAAGCAGTTCGTGCGTTCGATGAAAGCAAACACATTTGACTGATATACTGATTTGGAGCCCGATTCCATTGATAGTTGGCAAGACATGGAGCGTGAATTTCTAAATCGCTTCTATAGCTCAAGGAGGGTAGCCAGTTTACGCAAACTAACAAATACTCGCCAATGGAAATATTAGTATGTGATAGCTTACATAGAACGTTGGAGGGATCTTTCTCTAAACTGCAAAGATCAAATCTCTACAAGCTCCGTTATCGATATGTGCATTGAAGGAATGCATTGGGAATTGTGCTACATTCTCAAAGGAGTCAATCCAAACACTTTTGATGAGCTAGCAAGCAAAGCTCGTAACATGAAGTTGAGCATTACTAGCAGTAAGAGGAAAACCATGGGTATGTATCCCATCAATGATGTTGTTCAAAAGCAAGATACCAAGAATGAGGGCAAGCACTTTTCTAATATTGAAAATAAAGAAGGAATGGTCGTGAAGGCTTCACATGTTAAGATCTTCACTCAAAATTCAAAACAAGTTTCTAGGGTCGACTTGGAGGCATCGAAACGTGTTAAACCATTTATAGAAGACATGTTGGAAAAGAAATACCCCTTCTTAGACTCTGACGTTCCTCCCATGTTTGAGGAACTGATGAGATTGAAGCTTATTGATTTGTTCGAGTCCAAACGACCCGAGTTCATAAATAACAATAAGTTAGTTATTTTTCATTTGATCAAAATTACAATTAAGAACAGTCCATTTCTTCTTCTTCTCCTTCTTCTTCTCATTCTCCTTCTCCTTCTCCTTCTCCTTCAATTGTTCGCAGACCCATCCACGATAAAGTTAAATTGTGCGCTCTTCTTTAAATGCAAGCTGCACTCTTCTTCTTCTTCTTCTTCTTAAGTTATATTTCAAATTTTTGATTATTTTCTAACCTTTGCTACACATTTTCATAAAACGTGAAATGAAGAAAAGTAGAAGTAGAAGATCTATCTATATTCATAAGGGAAAATCGCACATTTAGTCCCTCGAATAATCACCATATTGAAATGTCAGACCCGTATTCTCTAGTTTGTAAATGTCACCCCTCAATTGTCCAAATTGTTGTAAATGTGGTCCTTTGAGGGGTGAAATGTACAATGTGGGTAAAGAGTACATTTCACTCCTCAAAAAACCACATTTACAACAATTTAGAAAATTGAGAGGTGACATTTACAATCTCTGAAATACGGGTCTGACATTTCAACATGATGACTATTTCAGGGACTAAAAGTGCGATTTTCCCTATTCATAATTGTATTTGTTTATTCGGTTTGTTAGAGTCTTATCTCTTCAATGTGTATTTTATGTTTTATTTTTTTAATTAAATGTGTGTGAGCTTGTTAATATATTTTTTAGAAAGTATATATATATATATTTAAATTAATTTACTCATATTAGTCACAAAAATTAATACTAATGTCGGTCATTTAAAAATACACGTTTTTTGGAACGTAGTTGTATAAAAAATATAAAATTCGACATAAGAGTAAGAATGAAATTTCCAAAGTAATCAATGAATTGAACAATAATTTTTAAAAAAATAATTTTCATAAAATAATAGCGTAAAATGTATTCAAAGTAAAGTATATGAGTAGTGTAAATTCAATATGTTGCTGTTAAAACAGAAGAGAGGATAGTATTTCTAATTTCTAAACACTTTTAGGATGTTTTAACTTGGACTTTAATTCGTTCCAGACCAGACCAGACCAGACGAGACTAGACCAGACCAGACGAGACCAGACCAGACCAGATCAGACCAGACTAGACCAGACCAGACCAGACTTGGATAATTATAAAAATAAAAAGAAACCAGAACAGACCAGACAAGACCAGTTCAGACCAGACCAGATCAGACCAGACCAGACCATCAAATTACCCTCTTACTAACAACATCTTTACTTCAAAACACTTTTCAACTTTTCAGCCCTTCGTGCCGTTGCAGCAGCTTCCACACATGCCCTGATGTAATCATAATTGGCTGTACACAAACACGGTAAGTAGCTCAATGAGGTGTTACCGTGCTAGGGTATGTTTGTAGATAATTGGATTTGAACAATACTAGAATTGTTATTCGAGTGGTATAGAATCTAGTTTTTTTTTTCTCGATTTCCGATGACTGCTATTTCTGATAATTGGATCATTGTTTGTTTCAATATTGTGTTAAATTAGAGATCGACAATGATTTAAACACAACATTGTGATGGGGTTAAAGAAGCACAACCCAGCAGTCTCTTTCTGATGATCAATGGAGTGTGCTGGAAAGGGGAGCCGAACGCCATGCTCAGGCCATGCCACTACACACTGTGGGCGCTGCCGAGCCGTTGCATACTGTTCAATCTCTCACCAGGTATTTTGTACGGAGTATATATTCATTTTGAACATCAACTTCACATAATACTCCAAAGACCCAGCTTCACTGATCTGGAATGTAATTTGATGTTTTAGTAATTTATAATAATGCGTAAAGGTTTCACATTGGAGTGTTCATAAGAAAGAGTGCAAAAGGCTAGAACAACAAATGAATGGCGCCAATGTTCTTAATGATTTCCCTTTCACCTTTACTGTAGAAGCTACAACTAAGGTATGAATTAGATTGTATTTTATTAGACTCTGACCATCAAATTTTGTTCATTTAATCTGCTGGTTGCATAACTTTTGCAGGTGTGTGATCACAGTCTATCGAGATGTTCATTCTTAGTAACTCAGGGTGTTCATCACGTGGGAATGTGGACATGGGAGTGTGCGTGTGGGCTGTCAGTTGATTCGTTAGATGTAATAAGGTTCCCCTTCATTTTCACATGTTCTTCTTTAAGTTCCATGTGCACACGCTGGGAGCCTGGAAATATTAAGGAAATTAAAATAGGGAAGAATGTAAAGGAAAAACAGAAATGCAAGGAAACTTGAGAAAAGTAAAGGACATAATCAATCTCAATAAATTTATGTTGGATATGTTTCCATCTGATTTTATCTACTCATTTCTATTGTATAAAGGCAAAAAAATTGACATGTGAAACACAAAAAACCTAAAACATTCTTTTTTCCTTTACCATTTCTAAGGAAATCAAATAACAAATATGACAATACAATTTTCAGTTATCAAAACATACTCTGAAGGAATGCGATGAATTTGAAAATGCAATCTTCATGTCTTCTTTATAGCTGCAAAATTTTCATTTCTCTATAAAATATTTGTTGAGGTGCTGTCAGGATGTGGTGCTCAGCTGCTCAGAATAACTCCTTATGATTTAAAAAAGGACTCTTAGATGTGGTTTTGTGATGAATTTGGTAGTTCTTAACACCACCATCTCAGTAAATTTATCTTATAGTGTTATACAAAGTATATCTGTTCAAACTCATTTTATGTATTTTTTCTATTATTGAAAGATTAAGAAATTTCAATATTTGAAAAAAGAATTAAAAATTGAAGGCATATTGCACTTTCTTTTACATAGTTCGAAGTAAAGCCAAATATTGAAAAAAAACTCACATTAGCTGTTTTTCACTTTCCTTATAGCATTTCCCCTGATCTAAACATGCTCCGAAGGAATGAATTGAATTTGGAAGGCAATCTTCATGCCTTCTTTTATCACTGCAAAATAACCATGAAGTTTGTAATCATTTTGAGATGATGTCATGATAGGGGTGGTGCTCACAATAACTTCTGAAGGTGTTTTTTCTATGAAATAGAATCTTGGATGTGGCTGTGTTATAAACTTAGTAGTTCCTAGCACCATCATTGCATCTTATCATTTAAAATTGTTTACATCACAGGCATAATGGATGGAATCTTTCAAGCATGCTATGCCCTTGTAGAGGTAATATGACGTTTTTTGTTGTCAAAATAAGCTATATGCTATTATTTTGACTAGTGTTCCTGCAAGTTACATAGAGCATCTACAATCATGCTCCTAAGTAAAATCCCAAATAAGTCATTTTTATGATCCCCACAGCCATATAGAAAATCCCAAATAATCTAAAAGCCATTAACTCACCCTCAACCATAATTTCCAAAATCATATTCATATGTATATATAACTGTAATAACACACCTAATCAATATATGTATATGTATGTGTGAATATATATATATATATATATATATATATATATATATATATATATATATTAATTTCCATGCTTCTTTGGTTCCATTCATTAATGGCATGGCGCCGAGCATATTCGTTTCTCTCAACATTGCATTGTGATGCTCTTTATTTGAGTTGTGTTTCTCATAGTAGTTCCAGTAGGTTGATTTTTATTGTAAGAAACTCAAACACAGTCCAAAACTTCAATATTATTTTTATCTACAAGTGACTTTGCTAGTTGGGGATGTGTTAACTGTCAAGAGTAGAAAATTAGCATGTATTTATACACAAAACATGTAAATTATGGGGAATAAAAATACAAACTTAATGTTTGTGCATTTTTTATTTATAAAAAAATAATGACATTTCTGCAATTTATTCGCTGGTGAATTTACAGGCAACAATTGGAACATTTAATTTGTGCATGTGACTATGTGTGTTGTTGCAGTAATTGTATCTGTTTGGTCATTTGTTAAACTCTTTTGTTGCCTTGTGATGGTTCTTTAGTCATGCAGTTAGTGCGTGATGTGCACACACCCCAATCTGTTTGCATCTCAAATTTTCTCTGTATTTGAATTTTTGTACCCAAATTTTCTGCATTTTGTCTCCCAAGAAATCCCTTTACTCAATCTTAATCTCCAAAAGTTCCTGGTGCATGATCTCTAATAAACTTATGCACGAGATTGAGGATGTCCAAAGGATGCATTAATTTGATCATAACTCATCTAAAAAAGATAGGGAAAAGGTACAAATATACCCTTGTAGTATGGGTGTGAGAACAAATATATCCTTGTTCTATCTTTTGGAACATTTATATCGTTGATGTTTACGTGGAAGTTGATGTTTATGTGGAAGTGCATATATACCCCTGAACTTTTAAAAAGTGCAAAAATACCCCTCATGATCCTATAAAGGAGCAAATTTACCCTTATTGACTCTAAATAAATAAAATAAATTTAAAAAATACCAAAACTAAATTATAAATTCGAAATTGAAAAATATTATGTTAAAATATTAACTCTTTAATTTTAAATTTCAAATTATTATTTTTCCATTGTAAATGAAGCACTTCATTTTCATAAATATTAATTTTAGTCTTGTTGCAAAATTTTGAACATATTGTTACATTTTTTGAAGTAACATTCTTTGATTTTGTTTAACCTTAATAAAATTAAATTCACTATTTTTGTAATCTTGGACTATTTATCATCATACAAAATATGTAATTTTATAGTGCAAAGAATACAAAAGATTAAAGATTTTTTTTTGCATTGTAACACATATGTTCACACTTTTCCGAAAGAATCTTAAATATATAGTAAAGTTTTGAAATAATATTTTATACTAACAATATTAAATTGTGATATAAAAATAGTAAAAGGGAGAATAAGACCCAAGTAAAATTTTTTTATTTTATTTTTCAATTTCAAATTTATAATTTATTTTTGGTGTTTTGTGAAATTTATTTTATCAATTTAAAGCCTCCTTTATAGAAACATGAGGTGTATTTTTGCACCTTTTAAATTTTCAGGGGTATATATGCACTTTCACATAAATTGCAGGAGTATATTTATTCCAAAAAATAGAACAGGGATATATTTGTTCTCACACTCATACTACAAGGGTATGTTTGTACCCTTTTCCAAAAAGATACATATGTGCTGAAGTTTATAGAAGTATATCCTAATCAACCGTAATCTCCGACATTAACTATAATATACCCCCTCTGGCCCATAAAACTTGGCCAAAGTTGACTTGCACGTGGAATAAGAAAGAAAAAATTGTGTGGTTGAGTTTTGTGTAAATGAGATATAATTCGTTTTGTGGGACGGAGGAGTATTTCATACAATCATACATGTGAAAACCCTAGTTGTATTGGGCTTAGCCCATTTGTGTATAGAAACCCTAATGCTCTAATATTGCTATAAATAGAGTTACTTGTATAACATTTCAATATGAAGTATAATGAATATATTTCACATATAAACCTACCGGTGTCTTCAACGCAACATCGTGACTTACCGCCGTGAAAATCCCCGCCGCTGCCTCATCCACGCACCGCCACGAGCCACTGCAGTTCTTGCCTGCATCTGTACGTTTTTCGCAGATCTCTCTCTTTCTACTCATCCACCGTTGACACTGCCAGCCACTTGAAGATCCTGAGATTCCGGCGACCAGAACAGTATAGGATATCGTCACCGCTGACCAACCACGCGCCACCCACACGCGCCGCTCATCCGTACGCACTGCTTCCGCCGCTGCTTTGTGTCGCCACCCCTGGGCAGAGGTTGGTTTTCTTCCTCCCTGATCTCTGCTACTGTTCATCTTCCCAGCAGCCCTAAGGAAGGGTCTTGGTCAACACAGTCAACAGACTCCAGCTCCTGCCTTGGGAAGTTGCTGCTGCACTACTTTTAATTTTCATTTTCCCTTTTATTCTACTTCTCAAAAAAAAAAAAGAAAACTCAAAAAAAAAAAAAACTCAAAAAAAGAGAGAGAGAGAGAACGACAACGTATTCTAGTTTTTGTTCATTTGCTTCAAGGCCGGATAGAGGTACCAACAAAGGATACACACGAAGAAACCATCCTAAGTGTGACTTGCCATAATCTTGGTCATACTAAAGATAGGTGTTGGAAGTTACATGGAAAACCTCCTACCTTAGCCAATGTTGTTCAGATCCCGCCATCTCCGATTGTTCTATCTCCTGACGAATATGCAACATATCAGAAATTTATGTTGACTAATATGCCTTTGTCTACACCTGGTACATCTACCGCTTGTGTTTCAAACGCCACGGCCTCATGGATCATTGACTCAGGTGCCTCAGATCATATTTCTGGTAATCCCTATCTTTTATCTCATATTACCAAGCAACAACACCTTCCTTTGATCACTCTTGCCAATGGCCTTCAAACCTCAGGTATTGGGCAAACACTTCCTTCTTCATCCTTGCCATTAGATTCAGTTTTAGATGTTCCTAACAGCTCCTTTAATATAGTCTCTGTTAGCAAAATTACAAGTGCTCTTAATTGTTCTATCACCTTTTCTGCTGATTCTGTGACTTTGCAGGACCGTTGTACGGGAAAACGATAGCCGTTGGACATGAATCTCAGGGCCTATATCATCTCCACCCTCGTGATCCAATCGCGTGTCTCAGTTGAACCTCCAATTACTCTACATAATCGTTTGGGTCATCCTAGTCTCTCAAAGTTTCGATGTCTAGTTCCAGGTTACTCAAATCTTTCATCTTTAGAGTGTGAGTCACGTCACCTTGGAAAGCAACCTCGTAAATCCTTTCCAAGACGGGTCAATAAACGTGCTACATCCCCGTTTGATTTAGTTCATACAGATGTATGGGGTCCTTATCGAGTCACTTCTACTTTAGGATTTCGTTATTTTGTTATATTTGTGGATGATTTTTCGCGTGACACATGGTTATTTTTAATGAAAGATCGTTTTGAATTGTTTAATATTTTTCAAAACTTTTGTGTCGAAATTCAGACTCAGTTCGGCCATTCTATCAAAATTTTACGCAGTGACAACGCTAAAGAATTTTTTGCGGCCCCTTTTAATCAATTAATGACATCGCGGGGTATGCTTCATCAATCTCCTTGTGTTCACACCATACTTGTCACGGCGGTAAGTCACTAAGTCGAGTCACGGCGCCAGCCGGCCGCCATATTGCCTAGGCGATAAGGCGCCCGACTAGGCGACAATTAGGCGACTAGTCACCTATACATGAATAATATATTATATATAATTAATCTTTATATATATAGTTATATACGGAGTATATAATCATATATAATTAAACTATATGAAATATGTATATCAGACTAGTATATATTAGTATGTACTAGTTTTTATGATTATTTTAATAGTTTATTATTTTATAATTTATAACATATAATAAAATAGAAGTCTCACGGGCTGGGGATACACATATATTGATAGATATATATAACTACACCCTTCCAATATATATATATACACACAACTTAATTAATTAAAATAAGAAACAATGAAGCCAAGAAGAAGAGATCGGGGACTGGGAACTGGGAAGTCGTCTGCTACTTTGCTTCCACGAGCGAGGGATTGACGGAGGGCGATACCTGCGAGTTCGTCTTTTTTGTGGAGTTGTTTGTCTGCTTCCTGCGAGTTCGTCTTTCGCGAGCGAGGGACTTGGTTTGGCTATACGACTTTGGGCAACAAATCGTCGGTAAGGTAGATTACTATGGGCTTGCTTTTAATTAAAGACTAAATCTATTTTTATTTGGGTTCTGGGCCTGCGCCATAGCGGTCCGACTTTCCAAAAAGTCGAGGACTTCATCGCCAAAACAGCGCCTAGATGACGCCTAGACGACGTCGTTCACGGCTACTCTTCATCTGGTGAGGCGAGTGAAGCTGGCGGGCAGTCCCTAGCGCCAGGACGCCTAGTCAGCAACTAGACGACGCCGTGACAAGCATTGTTCACACGCCTCAACAAAATGGGGTTGCTGAATGCAAGAACCGACATTTAGTTAATACAGCTCGCACCATGTTATTACATTCACATACACCGCCTCAGTATTGGGCAAATTCTATGCTCACTGTGTGTCATTTGATAAACCGCATGCCTTCCTCAATTCTTAATAATAAAATTCCATTTTCAGCCTTGTTTCCTGCTCGTGAATTATTTCCATTACCACCTTATGTGTTTGGGTGTGTGTGCTTTGTCCATGATACGACACCTGAGTTATCTAAAATGTCAGCCCGGTCAATAAAATGTATTTTTCTGGGATATTCACGGCTCCAAAAGGGTTATCGTTGTTATTCTCCTGTACTTGGGAAACATTTTGTTTCGGCTGATGTCCCTTTTTTGAGTCTTCCTTTTATTACCCATTATCTTCTGTTGATACCCCTTCATTTATGGACTTCACCTCCTATCTCCGACCCATCCTTCCAAATACTCCTATTTCTTCGACATCTGATGATCATCCACACTGTCCTCCTATGGCAGATCATCCATTACAAGTATACCATAGACGTCCTCGACCTCCTTCCATTGAGCTTATTGTGGCCACGCATCGCGATTCCCCTACCACGGATCCAGCATCATCACCGTCAGCAGTTCTAGCACCTCCGCAAAGGTACGTGCTCTACTTTAAATCCTCATCCCATATATAACTTTTTGAGTTATCACCGACTCTCTACACCTTACTTTGCTTTCATTTCACACCTGTCTCATATCTCCATTCCTAAAACCACACATGAGGCCTTGGCACATCCAGAATGGCGTAAAGCTATGTTGGCAGAGATGGAGGCTCTTCATTCTAGTGGGACGTGGGATTTAGTCTCCCTTCCCACCAGAAAATCGGTTGTTTGGTGTTGGTGGATATACACTGTCAAAGTTGGTCCTGATGGTAACATTGATCGTTTTAAAGCACACCTTGTGGCGAAAGGGTACACTCAGATCTATGGGATAGATTACACTGACACATTTTCTCCTGTCACTAAGATTGCTTCTGTTCGTTTGATTTTATCCATGGCGGCAATGAGTCACTGGCCCTTTTTTCAGTTGGATATTAAAAATGCATTTCTTCATGGTGATCTACACGAGGAGGTTTATATGGAGCAACCGCCTGGCTTCGGTTCTCAGGGGGAGTCAAGTTTGGTGTGCAGATTACGTCGTTTGTTATATGGCTTGAAACAATCTCCACCGCTCCACGTGCATGGTTTGGGAGGTTTAGTGCTGTTATTCGAGGATTTGGAATGATTCGAAGTGATGTTGATCATTCTATATTCTATAGACATTCTGCAGGTGATAAATGCATTTATCTTGTTGTGTATGTTGATGATATTATCATTACAGGTAGTGATGAACAAGGAATTGCACTCCTTAAGCAATATCTTTTTAGCAAATTCCAAACAAAAGATTTGGGAAAGCTAAGGTACTTCCTTGGCATTGAGGTCGCACAGTCTCAAAACGGAATTGCCTTCTCGCAAAGAAAATATGCCTTGAACATTCTTGAAGAAACAGGTATGCTAGAGTGTAGACCAGTGGATACACCAATGGATCCAAACGTCAAACTCTTGTCAGAGCAAGGAGACCATTTCCCCGACAAAGGAAAATATAGAAGACTCATTGGCAGACTAAATTACCTTACCATCACAAGACCAAATATTTCATTTGTGGTAAGTGTTCTTAGTCAATTTCTTGATAAGCCAAGTGGGCATTGGGATGCAGCTATTCGAGTCTTGATATACAACAAGAAAACACCAGGTCAAGGGTTGCTCTTTGAAGACCGAGGTCACTGTGATATTGTGGGATATTGTGATGCAGATTGGGCAGGATGTCCGATGGATAGATGTTCTACTTCGGGATATTGCATCTTGATCGGTGGAAATCTAATTTCTTGGAAGAGTAAGAAACAAGATGTGGTTGCCAGATCCAGTGCTCAAGCAGAATACCGTGCGATGGCCCTTGCTACATGTGAAATCTTGTGGTTGAAGCATCTCCTCCAAGAACTAAAATATGGGAGCACAAAACCGGTTCAATTATTGTGTGACAATCAAGCCGCAATGCACATTGCATCAAATCCGGTATATCATGAGAGGACTAAACACATTGAAGTTGATTGCCACTTTATTCGAGAAAAAATCGTAGCTGGACATATTTTCACAAAATATGTCAACACAACTGATCAACTTGCAGATGTTTTAACCAAGTTTCTTAGAGGTCACAGAGTCGAGTATATTTGTAACAAGCTTGGAGCATATGATTTATATGCTCCAGCTTGAGGGGGAGTGTGAAAACCCTAGTTGTATTGGGCTTAGCCCATTTGAGCATAGAAACCCTAATGCTCTAATATTGCTATAAATAGAGCTACTTGTATAACATTTCAATATGAAGTATAATGAATATAATTTTGTATTTCACAATACAAAATCAAACTTTTTATTTTATTTTACCTAGTGATAAACCATCATATGATGGGGTAAGGGGGTAAGGGCTGGGGAACACCTTACCAATTTATTAGGGGTTGAAAGAGGAGGATACAAGGTAGGGGGGCATGGGGCCAAAACCTACCGAAAGAAAAACCAAACAAATTTAAACTACATAAGGGTAAGCGATAACATCAAATTTGAGAACGTTTTTAAAATGGGAAGATTCGACATCAACTCCAAGGCTAATAGCATGAGCCGCACTATTAGTAGATTCCGGAATATGACCTATGAGGATGCGGTTTTGATGTACACGGTGAAGATTGATAGATTGTTAGACCAGTTGATTGGAGATCTCAATGATGTTTACGGTCTGCCCATTGTGCCTGCATCGAGTAAGAAAAGAGTGTAAGGCCTCAATGAAAGCTTTGTGTTTAGAGGTGTTGAAGTGGCATTGAAAAAGATGAGTGATTAATCCCCCTTTGTGATTACGAATTAGGAAGTCAAAGTTGTGAGTGTGACCAACAAATGTGTGAGATATTCAGGGTATACTGGTCAATTGGAGGATGGTTCCAGGTAATGGTGTAAGGGTTATTCGTGAGGGGATTATTCACGTTGATTGAGACCTTAAACACGTTAAGGTCTCGATGAATGTTGTATATGGCTCAGAGTTATTAGGTGCAATATCCTCATAAAGAGTGGCGATTCTCATCTTCCAAGGTTCCAAAGAATAGTGGAATATCAAAGAATATTTTTGTGTTTGGTCCATTTAAGTATGTTGTCCTTCAAATTGCCATCCAACCGGTGATTAGGAATATCAAAACGGATCCAAATGGCAGCATAAGAGGGGCAACAAATCCAAATAATCCTGGTGGTTGCAATGAGGACATTTAAAGGGACCGTTGAAACCCATATTGGTAGGAAAAACAACGTTAACCACCAAATTATCCATAATACGCCAAGGAAGAAAGAAACCTTTTTGGGGATAGTTTTTTTTCCATATAGCTTTGAAATTATTATCTTTGCACCTTTTTTGCCTAATCTCATCATAGGCTGTGCGAAACGTGAAAATCCCATTAGAGTTCTTGTTCCATAGGACAGTGTCTGGCTCAGTGTCGAATATGGGAGGAAGGTTGGTAAGGGACAGTCTTATGTCATGGGGGAGCACCTCAACATACTGGTTGATGTCATTATAGGCCTCCCTAATGGTTATGTTAGGGTCCAAGGTATCCAAGGAGAACATATGCAGAGGTCCAAAGGGACTCCAATTTGAGTCCCAAAATGACCTACTTCCGTTATGAACAATAACGCTAGTGTTCACAATCAAACTTTTATCGTAACATATTTCATATAGAAATCTTACCTTGACACTCTTGATCTATTATAAATTCCATGCAAACATTGTATAATTTCTCTATCAATATTTTCAAGCAATATTATATCAATTCATGCCTTCCCTAAAGTCCTTGAAAGTTTACCCCACACGTGCATATTAGTCTCAAATCCACTAGACATGCATATTAGACTCAAATCCACTAGACGTGCATATTAGACTCAAACCCATTAGGTAACCAATACGAAAACAAAGCAGTCTGAAGAACTTAAAGTAGAAACGTCGTTCTAAATATACATTAAATGGAACATCTGACAAATAACTATGAAACAAGTTTCTGATATCATAATAAATTGGGTTTAACTGACCCAAAAGTTCGTAAACAGGTGCGGTTTACCACACTAATTGCATATAAAAAACGAAATACGGTAAATATTCTAGATGACCAATGTGGGATACTCACATGCAGGGCCATCCTCACCAATGATAAAGCGTATTAGTAATTGGAAGGAATACTACGAATGGAGGTGCATCCCACTAAATTCTCCTGTCGCATTACTTCTTCACTGGGTATGTTTTGTGTTTATGTGAGTGATTACTTTGATAAATGAGTAATGTTGAATTCTTTTATCCTATCCGCATATAAAAAGGGACAGCCCGGTGCACGAAGGCATCCCCGCAAGGCGAGTGTCTGTGGAAGGGTCCCTCCATGATAAGAATCAGGCCCATTAGACTAAGAATATAAATAATAACAATAATAAATGTAAAGACGGTATAAATAGCTTGGAAAGGGGAGCTAGTAGGGAGGCTGTTAGAAAGTTGTATCTAGGACTGGGAAGATTGAAACTTATCATCTCTTTCTGATAGGACTCCAGTAGAATAGCACTGATAATAATAAGAATAATAATAATATTAGAATAGTTAGTATAAATAGAGGGTGAGGGAGAATAGAAAGGAGGTTGGAATTGTTATTTGGGTCTGGGACTTTGGAGAGTAGGCACTCTTTAACTGCCTTTGTATTTCTCTTTCTATACTTTCTGTTATACGACATCTCTTTTCTTCATCTTTGATTCTTGAAATCTCTAGTGAAATTATTAGATACCTAACATTGGTATCAGAGCGTCAGCTACTCAAGGAACGATGGAAAGTAGACTGGAGATCCTGGAACGCAATTTTGAAAGCTATCGTGAGGAAAGGCGGAAAGAGATGGCGGAATGGCGCGAATTGATCCTGCAGCAGAACGCTCGACATGAACGAAGAAAATCAAGAACTTCAAGGCGTCACACTGTACATGAGAGTCCTACATCATCTGAAGCCAGAGGTAAGTCGCGAACTTCGTCTCACAGTTCGCAGTCGCGAACCGTTTCTTTGAGTTCGCAGGATTGGTTGCAAACTTCTTCTCGCAGTCCGTCCGCATCGTCGCAAGCACAAGAGCCCAGTTCGCAGTTGCGAACAGTCCCTTCCCGTTCGCAGATGCGAACAGTTCCTCCCAGTTCGCAGGTTTCTTCGCAGATTTTTTCCCAGAATCCTTCATCAGCTCTCATTTCCCGTCAAAATGCGACGCAATCGATAGGAGAATTTCCAAGTTAGATGGATTCCTCACTCGCCGATCTTTACCACTCATATTCATCACCCGTCGATTCTTACTGTTCACCATCTTCCTCACAAACAGCTACACTCAGTTTTTCGCAGGATTCCTCGCCATCATTTTTTCCCAGTTTGCAAGCTTCATCTGGAGTAGATGTTTCCAGTTCTCAGACTTCTTCGCGAGCTTATTCTTCATCGCCTAGGGCAGAGAAAGTCACTGAGGGTGATGAGGGAAGCGCGGAAAAATTGTCAGTGAACATTGGACCGGAAGTTGGCACAATTGCTCATTTTCTCAAATACAAGTCTGTCAAGTCAGATTCGGAAACCAATATTTTCAAGATTCTACACACATGTGACACTGATGCTTGTGTGGCAAAGTCCAAGATGACTTCTAGGTTCGTACAGGAGATGAACTGGCCTAATGTTTTAAAGTCTGAAATGGTGTATTATCATTCATTAAACATTACTTTGGAAGGGCTGAAGTCATTGAACAAGTTTGATAGTTTCATATATGAGGGTGTTACTTCTATGATGGATACTCAAAATGGGTTGGAAGGAGGAATTACTGGGAATACTACAGAATATGAGAGAGATGTTACCGGTGTTGAAGTTGTCATGTATCTGATGTTTGTTAAAGATCTCACTCTTGGTCATTCCTCTGAGGCCATTAAAGTTGGTGAAGTGGTTATGGGACTGCCATTAGTTTGTATAATTGTTCAAGATAGAGGTTTAGATTTTGATTACAGATTTCATATGGCAAGTGCTGGTCCACGACTCAACGTTCTCAGGAAAAGAGATAAGGATCAAGAATGTGACAGTATGTTGAGAGCAATTAGTAATAGGAGATGGATGGAGAGGTGCGTTGATATTGTTGAAAGTCATGACCAGTTTTTGATTCTTGGGGTTGAAGGGTGCAAAGGGGTATTTTCTGTAAATTGGGACTTCTTTGATTCCAGATTAAGATGGGATGATGAATTTGATCCGGGTAGCATTGTTGAAAGAAAAATTCACATGGCTCACATGTCACTTTGTAGAAATAGTGTGAATGGTATGGAGAGCCTTAGTATTAGTGCAGCAATAACAGCTCTAGATTCTGCCACTAATTCTTTGAGTGTTGTTATTGGTAAAGAATCTTGCCAATTTTACTATTACAGGCTTAGCTCTGGCCCTGAGAAAACAACATACTTGATCAATGAACCCAACACTGAAGTTTCCTTTTTCCCAAGTGTTGATGGGTATCAATGTGCAGTTCTCTCTTCGCTTGCCAATTCCCCAGTATGCATCCGGCAGTACATGGCAGCAGGATCTAAATTGGTTGTGGTGTTTGTAAGCTGCCAGGCATCTTTGGGTATTCATCAAAATACTGAGAAATGGGAAGGTGAAACCTCATGTGAAAATAGGGAAGAACTTGCTTTGTGCTTAATAGAACTAGGCCAGCCAGTACATCCAAAGAAGGAAATTGAAGACAAAGATCAAAACAATTACAAAGATCCCAACAATCAGTGTGTTCTCCAGGCAATGAAGTTCATGGTCCCACAATCAGTTAGGTACTGGGAAGGGAGAGGCGCCAGGATGAAGATAAAGTTGAAGGTCAAGTCGGTTTCCTATCACCCACCTTGAGGACAAGGTGGATGTTCAAGGGGGGAGATATGATAGGACTCCAGTAGAATAGCACTGATAATAATAAGAATAATAATAATATTAGAATAGTTAGTATAAATAGAGGGTGAGGGAGAATAGAAAGGAGGTTGGAATTGTTATTTGGGTCTGGGACTTTGGAGAGTAGGCACTCTTTAACTGCCTTTGTATTTCTCTTTCTATACTTTCTGTTATACGACATCTCTTTTCTTCATCTTTGATTCTTGAAATCTCTAGTGAAATTGTTAGATACCTAACACTTTCTTTGGGCTTCGTTGTATTGATTTCCACCATTAATGAAGTTGGATCTTGTTTCTTGAATACTTCTCATCTTTCTCTGTTAAACTTACATACCTGAAAGTACTCTATCAGTGGTATCAGAGCACGTCACTTCCTGGAGGAGAATCCGAGTCATCGATTATCCCAGAATATCAATAACCTGGAACGATGGAAGAATTCTATATGACACCACCAATGGAAGAGAGATTTGACAATCTCAATCGACAGGCGAAGGAGATGAATGCTAAGGTTGGAAAGAATTTTACGTGACTGTGAGCGTCTAAATCAGCGCTTGCTCCGATCGAGGAACACCAGGCATCATCGGCGATCTGACAAACAGAGTTTGTCGCAGTCGCTCACTAGTCTTCAATCGGAGTCGCGAACTGCTTCTCTTAGTTCGCAATCGTGAAGGGCTTCGCGCGAAAAAATGCTGAAGCTCGCGGAAGAGGTTGAGCGCGGAATAGTGGAGAAAGAAAAGCGCTCAAACCTAGAGAAGGAAAAGCGCTCAAACCTGGAGAAGGAGAAGCGTGCGAAGAGCAAGGAGATGAGAACCGGGTTGGACGAAGTGCGCACCAAGCTGCGGAAACAACGTCACCGGCGAGGATGATCGAGGACTGTGCGTCGCTGCAGGAATTCGAAAAGCAAAGGTTCGTTGCAGTCGCCATCAGGTCTTTCCTATTTGCAAACTGTGTCGCACGTAGAAGCTCCCAGCTCGAAGTTGCCAGTTTCGTCCCTATCAGATTCACTGAGTTCGCAAGTTTCTCACCCTGCGAAAGATATTCCCCAGTCAATAAATAAGACCGAGATGGAGCCAACAAAATCTGTAATCAAGAAAATGAGTAAGAGGAGCAAAGGCAGATTATTCGATGGCCAGATTATGTTTCTCCTAATCTTGCAGACGATGCAGATATAATTCCCAGCCAAGTTTCTATCGTGGATCTGCTTCGCCAACCATGTTCATTGGGAAGTAGAGTCCTAATTGCTTCTGAAACTGGATTAATTAAAATCAAGAACACTGCAGATGATAAAGCTGTTCTTGTCAAAAGTCAACAACCTCGACAACCAAAGGAAATGGTTTCAGAAAATTCATGCATTGGTAAAAAGAGATCTGGTAGAGGCTGAGGAGGAGGTTGATCTTGTTTCAGGAGAATCTGCTATCATTTTTGGAAACCACAAACCTATTCATGATGCTGATAAGTTTAGCCATGGCCAACACCTTGAAATACAAGGAGCAGAATTGCAGCCATGGGTTGAGAGCATGTTAGACTACACCAAACTTGACTTACATAATCCATTTAAAGCACCTGAAAGTTATATAATGTTGGGAGACAACTCATAACCTATTACTTCCTAAGGTTCATAAATCATTCACAAGGGTATTACAGAGGGTAGCCCCAAAGAGTTACCAGCAAACTCTAGCTATCAGGGCTCCTGGTAGCATACAGCCTTTGATTGTTCACATTTTACCTTATGTTAGGGAAATGTTGACTAAACCACGACAACATCTTGAAGAATTAGTAACTGGTTCACTAGATCTTCTGATCCTAATACCAGGGTAATTCTCTAAAGTAAGAGGCAGGAAATATTGGAATGGAGAGAAATCCCAAGGGTGAAAGAAGTGAAGATGAATGGTCAAGTAATGAAGCTGATGGGTGAATTATACAAAGGAAATAATCTTAGTCTTAAAGTTGACAGCAAGGTGTGCAATATAATGGAACAAATGCTACTTCGGGTTCAGGATTGGGGAATACAATTGGAGATTGTTGAATTCTTAAATTCAAAAAGAGAAACACAGTATGACTCAAGTTCTCTTGAACTTTCTTCTGACATGTGTATGAGCTATTCAGTGTGAAGTTTCACTCAAGAGATAGGGTGAAGTCAGAGGGACATGCTATGCTGAGGCTGGTCAAGAGTTTTTCATCTAGAGGACTAGAAGTAGGGAACTTCTGATAACGCCATCAGTGAGGTACTGGGAAGGAAGAGGCACCAGGAGGAAGCTGAGTTCCAGGCTTGGTTCATATCTTCCCACCTTGAGGGCAATGTGGATGTTTAGAGGGGTATTGATAGGAATCCGGCCCATTAGACTAAGAATAGAAATAATAACAACAATAAATGTAAAGACAGTATAAAAAGCTTGGAAAGGGGAGTTAGTAGGGAGGCTGTTAGAGAGTTGTATCTGGGACTGGGAAGATTGAGACTTATCATCTCTTTCTTTGGGCTTCGTTGTATTGGTTTCCACCACTAATGAAGTTGGATCTTGTTTCTTGAATACTTTTCATCTCTCTTTAAACATACATACCTGCGAGTACCTATCACTCCACAAGAATGTATAAGGGACAAGCCTTCCCCTGTCAATTTTTTTGATAAAAGGCCGCTCCTAAGACTTGAACCCGCGACCTCTCACTCACCCAGCAACACCTTAACCGGTGCTCCTAGGCTCCTCTTATATCCTATCCGTATATATTTAAACACAAAGGTTTTTTCTTCAGTTATGATATCCCTATTTGATTCATGTCATGAATCGAAAAAGACTTGGATATTGTTGTTGTTGTTGTCATACCCCTTTTTGTTGATCCTGCTAAAAACATTTTTTAAGCATTCTGAAATTTACCGTATGAGTTGTCTTACATTAGTTTGACACTATAAGTTTGCAGTATGAGTTGTCTTAAATTATTTTAATACTTAAAAATCCACGCAGAAACATAGTTGCAAAATTCAATTTTGTAAAGACAGAATAGTGAAATGAAATCCCAAAACTATCATCATATAGGGGGTTCCACTTGCTTGGAAAATATTACGAGAGCAATGAGTTGAGATAGTTGCTTGCCCTGCCCTGTCTTATTGCAAATTTAGTATGTTGACGTTGTAAAATAAACATCATGGAACTTTGATTATCTATTTGACTGTCATTTCATTTGAAAATCTTCAGCACCTTTTTATTTTATGAAGTTGTGAATTCTGAGTATGCATCTTTATCCCCTCTTATACAGCCACTAACAGTGTATTGGGCCATTGAACTTGCAAAGGTGAGAAGCCTGGTTTCTGAAATTGTTAGCGAGATTCACATACATTATTTAGGTACTGCTTCCTAAATTGTGTAGCCATAAGCCCGTAAGAGTACAAGACTTCGTAGATTTTCTCATCTTTACTCTCTATTTCACTTTCAGCTATGATTTATAATTGTATGAGAAATACTGGATTTGCTTTTGCTTTTCTCTTGCTTAAGACAATAGGGTATGTTTGGAATGACAGGAAATGCCAAGGAAAAAAAAGAAAGTTAACTTATTTTCGTATGTTTGACTTTACCTTTGAGAATCGGAAATTAAAATGATATATAATAATTATTTTAAATAAAATTTGTGTATTTACATATCTTTGTTATTATATAATAGAAACAAATAAAAAATTGAGTCTGAACAAATTCTAAATTAAATTTACTGAATTTGAGTCTATCCCCTTTTCCTCCAAATTTTCTTTCCTTCTTGATTACCACAAAATTTATTTTCCCTACCATTATCTGGTCGAAAGAGAAACCCTAAGCATGTAGCATACTGACATGCAATGATGTCACTAAGTTTGGGCTCTTCTTCCTGGTGTAATGCACAAAGGTCCAGAAAAAGAACTTTGTCAGCTTGCTGTCTTTGGTGAACTGCGTGCGCTTTTCCCTGGAATGAGGATGCATATATATTTTGTTGGAAATTCAGTTCCACAAGACAGGTAAGTTTCTCACCATACAATTAATTAGATTTCTCACAATACATGTTTATTAGCTTGATGCCTTGATCAAGACTAAACTTTTATTGTGTTGAAGTTTATTATTATTTTTTATATGCTTAGGGATGGAGAGAAAATTGATCTTTACAGTTACTGTCAATGCGCTGAGACGGACTGTGAATGCAAATATTTAAATACCAGTTGTGACTCCTACACACTCACCAATAATTCTTATCCAGTCACATTACATCTGTATTCCGGTTACTATCACGATCGTTACAGAGATCTATCAAAGGTTGTCGAGTGTTGTTTCCTTCATGGTTTCTTCAATAAGAATTGTCTGTGGACGGAAAAATGGGAAACAAATAAAATGCCTATGGGAAGTTATTTTCATGTGTTTGGTTATACCAAGGATAATGAAACATGAACATTTTTTTTGGCTTAAATACATTTTTAGTCCATGCAAATATGACACTTTTGTTTTAGGTCCCTACAAAATTATTTAAAAAAAGTTATTGTTGGTTGCATAAATGTACTAGAAACTTTTAAATGTATCCTTTTTATAATTCTTTTGAGGCTTGTATGAAAGTTAAAGCAATGTAAAACTAATTATTGACTTTTAAAATATGTTTTAAACACCTAAAAAAATTAAATACTTCTTTAATAATATGAGAAAGAATTAGAGGAAATCTATTAATCGGGATTGTTACGTTTTCAAACAGCGGTTGTTATCATCTGTGATAGACTAAAAAGAAAAATCAACATAAATTTCACGGATGAATAACAAAAAATAATTTCGCAGGGATGTAAAACAAAATGTACTATGTTTTCATCGACTAAGAACATGTTTAAACCATTTTTTAGAAATGTTGAGATTTCTTAGTCTTTATATGATATAAATAGATAATTAAAATGAGTTTCAACAAAACATTTGAGTTTTAACAAAAGTTTTATTTTTCCTCCATATTTTCTCTTCATACAAATCAGTGTACAAGAAAACAACATTACCTCAGTGCCTCAAAGGCACCCACTTACAGTGAGGTAAGGCGGGTCAGATGTACGCAGCTTTACCTCTGTATTAAAGCACAAAGACTGTTTCCGAATGACTCATGATGAAAATCACGTTGAAAATTGCATGGACTGACCGTGGGTTTACCGAAGGCGGGGACAGGCTTGAGTCCACCTTCGTGGGCTGATTATGGGCTGGGTTTTAGTTTTACTTATTTTAAACTTTATGTTATGTTTTCTAGTTTGGGCCTGTTATTAGTAGAGTATATAGTAGAGTTAATTTGGGCCTAATTAGGGTTTACTTAATTTGGGCTCGATTAGCGTTTTTGTTGGGTTTATCACTAGAAGGGTATTAAAACCCCTTGTTAGGATTCATTTTGGCTCATCTATTAATAAAATCGGATTTCAGCCTTTTGGCTCTGGGCAACGATTTCTACTGTTGATTAATCTGGGCAACGGTGTACTCTGTTGATTTATTTTTCATTCTTATCAATTGGTCTGACCCGCTGGATCTCGTTCCCGTCGTAATGACAAACGAGATCTCACAACGATCGCTTGATGGAGTTGGAGGCCGAACAGGCCTTGATGAATAAAAAATTTGACATGCAAGGCATCCAACTGGTGGAGATTGCAGCCTCCTGGCTGCGTTCACGAAGGCACTCACATCACCAGAGATGAAGGAGCCCTCATCGGCCGCATCCTCCAGCACTGCAACATCGGTGCACACTTGTGACTGTGGTTCGCGCAGCACCACACTCGCTTTGCTGCCCTCGTTCGATGGCAAAGACCCTATCGGTTGGGTGGCTAGGGTTGAACATCAGTTTGAACTAAATGGGAACCCACCGTAAAGAAAAATGGCAGCATCTGTGGTTGCCACGGAAGGGGCTGCCCGATATTGGGCGACCTGGTTGAAAGCACGGAAACGGGGAAACAGGGTATGGCCAGGGAGAAATTCACACAAGCACCGGTGGTTCGGATCGGCTCCAGGTTAAAGGGAAGCCAATTGGAACGGCTGTCCGGGGTCAAACAAAGATGGGTACAGTGGAGGATTACAATACTCTAATCGTTCAATTGGCCAGGCAGGTTCCCGGGCTGTCTGATGATCATTATCTAGGTATTTCCTAAATGGACTGAAAGGATCGATTTGGAGATCCCTTCGGTTGCTGCAGCCAAACAGTCTGGAGATGGCAATGGAATTGGCAAGAGATCGAGGATAATCTGGCCTTTCAGAATGGAGGCGAGGGGAGCCAATCCTACAATACAGAATCGCGTTCGGGCAGTTTTTCACGACCAAGTTGGGGTAACAGCACAGCCATGAGTGGTGGCAGCATAAGGGGGCCCAGTGACAACTTTCCTAAAGATACTGGGCAGCCCCCGGAGACAAATGTGAGCCGGTTTCCGGATTTCAACATTGAGGACAAGGTTGTTTCGAAGGGGGATTAAATTGATATAAAGCAAGAGCTGGGCTTGGAGGAAGAGGGGCAGAGGCTTCGTGGGTTTACTGAAGGCGGGGACGGGCTTGAGCCCACCTTTGTGGGCTGGTTGTGGGCTAGGGTTTTAGTTTTACTTATTAGGAACTTTATGTTATGTTTTCTAGTGTGGGCCTGTTATTAGTAGAGTATTTAGTAGAGTTAATTTGAGCCTAATTAGGGTTTACTTAATTTGGGCTCAATTAGGGTTTTTGTTGGGTCTGTTACTAGAAGGGTATTTAAACCCCTTAGGATTCATTGTGACTCATCTATTAGTAAAAATGGATTTCATCCAAATATGTGCATGTAACTTTTTTAAGAAAATAAAACTAAACATAAGAAAATAGCTCTCTTTTGTACAAAGTATCTTTTTTCCCTTCCCTAGCAATTTCCAAAAAGACCCCCTCTAGCTATCTAAAAAAGTGTCATCATTGATCATGCTGTGGAGCGGGTACGATCTGCGTACTCCAATGTTGGCTTACAATTTTTCAATTTGTTTTACTGCTAGGATTCTTTTCCAAACTTAATTATTGCCCCAAATGCCGGCATTGCTGCTTACAGGAGTTGGTTACCTACGATTGTTAGTCCTTAAAACTCACTATTAATTTCCAGTTCAAAGTTACGCAGGCTGTCTAAAAATATTCATTTTCCCAGGAGCTGATAAAAGAGATGAGAGTTCCTGCAATTTTCTCTGATTATTGTGAAGAAGCTTGTCTCCTAGCGACAAGTTGTATAAACTCAATAAGTGGCTCCCGTCCAAGTATTCCTGTAAGCTCTCCTCTGTATTCCGATTCTTAGTGATTTAACTATTCTCTTTTGATGAAGTTGATGTTTATCGGGTTTCTATTTAATACTATAATTTTGAGGTGAACCTCACCTCTTGAAGTTTTTTTTTGGGGGGGGGGGGGGGGGGGGGATGAGAATGATGAGATAGACACTGTGTTAATATGACATCAAATCCTAGTCAGTTTTTTGCTGGAGTTATTTTGGGGACCCATGTCTCCACACTTGAGTAATACTCTCTGTATAAAGTAATTGTGAATGTGCCTTTCTAAGTTTATAATTCTCATCACACCAGTTTCCCTGAACTTGGCTCGTTTCATTCTTTTTACCTCGTGCAGATTCAGTTAAATCCCTTCAGACAACCTCTTGCGGTTGAAGACAGTGCTCTGTTCCTCCCTTGCTACTCCAATTGTTTTCTTTTTGGCATTTGAATGAATTGAATGAACACTTCTTGTGCTCTACAACATCCAAGTTTTAGTTTCAAAAAAGCTTGGGGTCGACTATCTTGAATCGACATATAAAATCTAATAGATGTTTGAAATTCTATAAATGTGACTCTTTTTTATTGCTTTGAAATTCTACAGAATTGGGCTTAGGGTTGGACCCGGGCCGGTCCGGTTCCGGTTCCAAGCTGGGTGGGCTTTTTTTAGAAACATGGGCCTAGACCTGGCCCGTGGTGATACTGGGTCCGGTCCGGGTCGGGCCTACCCGGCCGGGTAGTTGGTCAGTTCGGGTCGGGTCTGAGCTATTTAACTATTTTTTTATGTTTAAATATTAAATTAAGATTACTTGGACATAAAAAAATTAAAATATATTTATTTGAAATATGTAGTACAATTGAAAATTGAGCAAAAATTAAAACATGAAATACACTTTATAATAAATAAGAATCAATCGGAATTTCAACCATCTTCGATTGTTTCTTCCATAAAGTGGCGGGTGGGTTCAATGCTAATTTCTTGAGTTCTACGTTTGGCCTTCAACCAATCGTGGAAGCAAACAAGCGTCTCAAGAGAGTTTGCGCTCAATCTCGTTCTATAATCCGTTAGGACGTTGCCAGCCGTACTAAACTCTTGTTCCACAGCAACTGTTTATACCGACATTGCTAGCACTTGTTTAGCCATCTTTGCAGGCCCGTCCCTGAAAAATTGGAGGCCCTGTTCAAAATAAAATTAGAGACCCTAATATTTTATACAAAAATGCTAATAATACAATAAAAAACAATATCAAATTTTACAAAATGCAATTCTACTTAATGAAGTAAACACCAAGATTATCAATTTTACATTCGAAATTTTAAACTTAAAATACATCTATTTAAACAATGCAATCTTTCTACGATTTTTGAAATAAAATCTTCAATGATTTCTTGATATGCAATTTTCTCAAGTAGATCACTCTCAATTGCTATTAAAACTAATTTATTGAGTCTTTGTTGTGTCATTGTAGATCCCATGTCAGACTTCAACTAGACAACTATAATTTACAGAATATAAAACTGTAAGAGAAATAAGGAATTCAAATAAGAGAAACAATGATATATATTATATATAATCAATTAAAAGAAAGATGGGAACACAGGCGCCTGAACTGCTGAACACGTGAGTGAATGAGTGACCGAAGGATAGCAATAAGCAAAAGAACAGATGAATTGAAGATTGAAGAACATCAAGAACAATCTGTGCCCCTGTTAGGAGTGCGAGAAAAGTAGTCTGCTACTGCAGTTCTTCTAAAAAGTAAAAGATTGTTGGCTAATTTGGTTTGTTGCAGATCGGCCCTCGAAATAGAAGAAGAACGTATTGAAGCAATTGCCAAATCACTAAATCAAATTAATGGAGTTTGGATGGAATTGAGATATCTGATTTTCGGATGATTGGGTATTTAACGAAAAAAATCCTAACAGTAAAAAATTAAAATTCATACCGACAACCTTCATTCACCCTAGTCTGTCAAATCATGCCGATCTTCTCGTTTGGCATGCCGCTTCATTTCTCCAAAAAACGAGGAGGCCTTTCCGTCTACCCGCTTCTGTAGTGACTTCCGGGGACTGATCGATGAGGCAAGCAGCCAAGCAGACACGCTTCACAAATAGGAGGTTGGGCCGCTGCCTAAGGTTATTATTATTTGATAAAAAAGATCCTATTGGGCCTAGGTATATTAGTATACTAAGGAGCATTAAAAATTGGAGGCCCTCTTAGGATTGGGGGCCCTGTGCAGGTGCTCCATTTGCACTTGGGTCGGGCTGTGCCTGCATCTTTGATAAGATCGGGAACGTTCTCTCTTTTTCCTTCCACCACTGAAGAACGTCAAAGTCATCCCCCTATTCACACTCAACAGGAATTTTTAGATACAAAGAAAGCTCATTGATTGATCTTTGTTCATTAACCGGAGTTGATTTACTTTTTTCATAAGATTGTCAAATGCAGATTTTAAAATTGATTTTCCTTTAGATGAAGAAGATGTTCGTGGTGGGGGAGGGGGTGCGTTACCATATCGTGCATGAAACTCATTAAATAATTGATATAATAAATTACTAACCTCTTGGAATTGTTGTTTAGGGTCTATGACCTTCTCGTCGTACATAGGCAATGGACCTAAAAAAGAAGCATAATAGTAATCTAAACATTGCTCCAAAGAAGCAAGTCTAAAATGAGGATCAAGAATAAATGCAATACTATATATGCGGAATATAGGAATAATATTTTAAAATCTTTTGTTTCATGAAGTCACAAAAATAACTAACGTAAGCGGTATCAGCAAATTCAGAAAAAGTGCCGGCGAGATTAATAACTTCAACAAAAAATTGGTTTGCGGTAGGTTTATAAACATGACTAAAAGTTTGAGTTGCATTATTAAAATACACCAAAACATTCACAACTTTTTCACAAGTGTCGATGTCGGCTGGGTTTATAATATAGTTAGCATATTCTTTTAAAAAAGCAGGAAAATGGGTTTTAAATCTAATAAGCACCTTAATTAAGTTATAAGTACTATTCCAACGAATAGACAAATCTTTAGGAAAAGCACAATATCTGACACGTCTTTCTTTCAAATAATTTCTCCATTGCATCTTAAGTTGATTACTAGCCCAAATAAGTTTAATCCCCCCTTCACCACCTCCATAGCATCTCCCAACGCCGCAAGCCCGTCCTTTATACATAAATTGAAAATATGACATGCACAACGCTGATGAAAAAACTTATCCATCAAAGAAGATGAACCACACAATTCATGCAATCTAGGAATAACAGCAGTATTATAAGTAGCATTATCAAAACCAATAGCAAACACCTTATTAATCAAATTATACTCAATTAAAATACGCTCAATGAGAATATAAATATTATCACCGGTGTGTTGATCATTAAATTCACGAAAAGCAAGAACACGTTTATGCATACACCAATCATCATCAATATAATTGATGGAGTATATGGCCCAAGGACCCCCGTCCCACACACTTCCACTACTCTAATATAGGCACAACAGGCCCAGGAAACGCAGTAGGCCCAAATCACATCGGCCCAAATGTCAAGAAGCCCACGGTTCGCATACAGATGCCCTCGGTCCCAGGGCCGAGGGCTCCAAAACTCACGGGGCAGACAAAGATACTGGGAGAAGACCCCGGAAAATAGGAGCCTTCGGCACCTGCAACCCTCGGTATCTGAAGGCCCTCGGCCCATGGAGCCTTCGACACAGTAGATACAGCCGAAGGCATCTGATAGAGTATATATCTAGAGAGAAGTGAGAGCTAGAGAGAGAAGTGCAAGTAATGCTTCAATAGAATGATTTTGTAACCCCCATAACTACCTCCAGAGGAAGTATTTATAGGAAAAATATGGGCTGGGCTCCCAAGCCTTGGGCTTGGGAGGCCCATTTACATAGGCCCGCTATTGGGCCGAATACAAAGTAACTGATGGGCTACATAAATGAATAAGTGTAAAATCTAGTTCTGCGAGTCTTCCGTGGCCGATGAGGGTCTGGCCGACGAGGGCACGGCCGACGAGGGCACGGCCGATGAGGACACCCCGGTTCCCTGGCTTCAGGGTCGTATTCTGAGTCGGCCCTTCGTCGGCCGATGAGAGTCCTTTGGCCGACGAGGGCACCGCGTAGTGGCTTTGTGCTCTGTTCTTCTGAGTATGTGGGTCCTGGGGCCTGGACCCATATACTCCATCAGGAGTCCCCCACTCTCTAAGATGAGATGTAGACGAAGTGAGGGAGAGTAGATTTCTGTGCTTGATGCTTCTTGGCCAATGCGGGACCACGTTGGCCGTTCTCTGTCACGGCGTTTGGTGGCCCTGTTCTGAGTTTGGCCATTGCCTGCCCCCTGATGCGGACGGGGGAGGCTATTGTTCCTTTGGTGCGCTTTGTTTGTGGATGATGAGTGTTCTGGCACGAGTGGCCGATGAAGGTGGTGTCCATCCTTGGTTGTTGATTGGGTGAGTTTCCCTTTTGCGCTGGTGAGGCCGTAGGGGTTGCGTCTTTGTTTGGGGTGGCCGATGAGGGTACTGTACATCCCTTTTGGCCGTTGTTGATGATGCCATGTGTTTTTGGACGACAAGGCGTCATGTTGCCCAAGGTTTTGGGGATGATAACATTGTCTGGTCGTAGATAAAGTTGTGAGGACCTTGGGGCCGTTGCGGTACATGGACGTCAGTGATTTAGGTATGTTAACCTCTCTTGATTCCTGGCTTGAGAGTGATGTGTGGTTTCAAGGCCGATAAGTGTCCTGTGATCTCAAGCTTTGTTGTGGCCGAAGGTGCACCATGATGTTATGGACGCTGTGGCGCACGTCTGAAGTTGTAGTTGTGGACTTAGTATATTTTTGGATTTCTTTGATTTTGCCTGTTATTCTTGAGGCCGGTGTAGTCCCCCAGTCCCCCACTGCTTCAGGCCGAAGAGTGAGTGAGGGGTGAAGGAGTAGATTGAAACCTAGGCCGAAGCGGGATCCTCATACTGCCCTTGGATCCAACCCTTTGGCGATTTCCTAACCAAGGTAACCCTGTGGGAGAATCCTTGGACGCAGGTCGCTTTCAAAGGGTTATCATCAAGGGTTTAGTGCGAGGGCCTCATGGCCGTTACGTTCCTTTCCTTTGGGGTATTGTGGCCGTTGTAGAACATTCCTTTGCATAATGTACGTGGCCGCTTAGATGGCCGATACGGTTGCCACATGGATGGCCGTTGGCTGTGTTGGTCGTTGATAACCGCTTTCGCGGCGTTGTAGTAAAACAGAGTCTAACCTTTCGGTTTTTCCCCGAGTATCGTGTCTCTTGAGGAATGGCGGAGGAGTTTTCTTAATTTAGTCTTAGTCACGGGCTATCGCTAATTGTTGGAAGCTTTTTCAATACAAAAAAGGTGATTGTATTCTAGACTAGGCCAAATTGCACAATTACACTAGAACAAATTTCAACTAAAAGATTTAAGATTTAAATATTCTAAAAAATTATTGAGGCAAGTAAGGGCAATGAATTGAGTAATTGGAAATGGATATATTCTTGGACCTAGTAATTAGGGGAATTAAAACAACAATTGGACTAATAATTTCTTTTCTCATAGACAAGAATAGAAATTACTTTC